AAGTTCAAACAGCTGAGAATGTATCAAATCCTCATCTTTCCCTCCAACACACCAAATTGTTCTTGTTGACTAATCATTTTTCAGCGTACTAAGCACATAGGCTTTAGCTGTAGGGCACGAAAAACAAATCTGTTTAAAAAATGTAGCAGCAAGTGCAACTGCAAAACTTGCAACCATCAAGTACCTCAGATGCATCTTGACAGCAGCTAAAGGACATCAGAGCACCAGTGAATGGCTTCAGTGCAAAACCAATAAAGGTCCAAATCTTGCCTCTTTATCAAATTTTGAACACATGACCCAGTAAGTAGGTGACATTTAAATAAATTAATAAATAAACAATAGTAGTAATATATTCCATCCACGTGCATTTGAAGTTCCAGCTGACACCCCCCTGCTATAATTCAGACTTGATCTGAATTCATTGAGTTGAATCAGGAAAAGGAACTGACCACAGAATAATTTATTCTTTTTATAACTTTTACACTCCCTGAATTAGTTCACTATGGAGCCAGATGAATGCCAGGTACAACTTCAAATGGGGTGCAAAAATAACCTTTGAGGTTACAGCTGGACATTTGACTGACTGCCTGATTTAGCCATGTAGTCTTACTCCTAGACTAAGCTCTCTCCAGGCCAAGGTTTTAGAGATATTTCCCAACTTTTAGAAAATACTGATCAAAAGGAATAAGTTTTCCTCCTAATGCTCTTCTGCCATCCTTCTTGTCCTTCCTGCCCTGTACCAGGACAAACTGGTGGCAAAACACTTTCTTGTTTCAAATAATGTGATCTAACCAGTTAAAAATTGAAGTTTTCAGCAACTGAGGCCCGTTTACAACTGCAGGAAAGGAAAGCACCAGCTAGGACGCAGGAGATGCTCATATTGCAGCTGCTACTGAAACAGGTTTACACAGAACTCTGACTTCCTGCCACTTACTCCTGTGACAACTGGCTGAAGAGACTTTTCTCTGAGCCATCTCCGGAAAGGTGCAAAGGAATAAAACAGGAATTCCCTAAAAAGGAAAGGGGAAAAAGAAAGAAACAGAAAAAATGAAAGTGTAACTAAATTACTGTAGTAGAGGGGGTGGGGACACACACATTCTTCCATGCTGGTGAGCCACACGGTTGTTAAAATTTCTCCGTATTTATTATGTTTCACACAGTATCTAGAAGTTTCAAGAAATCTATCAGAAGCTGCAACAAGACCAAAAAGGATCCCCATCATTAAAAGCTTACGAAACATGCAAACAACAATTGATTAAATTATTGTGGAAGTATGTTGAAACAATACTGGCCCCCAAAACAAGCTCCAAGTCTGTACAAATTTCTTCAGGCACTGTGGCAAAGGAGTTTTAATACACTCCAATACTGAGGCAGATTTAAAGATTCCAGATTACTTTCTTGAGGTTTGAATGGTGTTATAGCAAAGCATACATGTGCTCATATAAAAACAGAAGCTAAACCAGACACTCAGGAGGGGTACCTTCATCTGTCTGTTAAGTGGGCTTGGCTGTGGAAGAGGCAAGAACTGGAAGTGAAGACAGAGAGGCAGCTGAAGTTTGATGCAACACAGCGGGGCAGTCAGAGGGGACAAAAGTGATGAGTTACAATAATCTCTGCTGCAGCATTCCCAACACATAAAATACCTTCTGGGAAACACAGATTAGCCAAGGCAAAATCACTAATTCAGATGTCATGGTTGGTGTCACAGCAGTTCACTAACAGTTGATTAAGTAATCTCTAGTTAAAGACTTTCATACTTTTAAAACTCAAAGATCCAGGAAACGGATCCCAAATTTTGGGTAACTTCTCATCTCAGTGGACACTTGAGAAGAAACTGAACCCTGCATGCTGTTCAATTACTGCCCAACAGATGAAGTGTCCCAGGTTTAGCAATTAAAAGACTGGGAGTCATCATTAAACTCCTGTGGTAGTCACACTTCTAATTTAAGGTTCTGCAAGATCCTATTGCATGCATAAAAACATGAACAGGCTTAAATTCCTTATTAGACTTATTTGGCAAAGTGTATTAACCACCAAATGCTGACTTACCATGCCTGCATTAGATTCTACTCCTTCCTGCATGCATATATTGGAATTGGATATTGGAATTACTTTTGCAAGTTTAACAACAGGGCAATAATTACAGATTTTCCTAAGGTTTACCAGAACTTTTACCGAATTTAAAAGCTCACAATTCTATTAATAAAGTGTCACACATTGCAGAATTTCAACAGAGTACAAAATTACCAACTATTACCGCTGGAAACAAAAAACCAAAATGCACATAAAACCCACTACAACAGCAGCAAGAAAATATATCACTACAGACTAAAGAAATTCCTGCCCAATTATTTACCTTAACACTCTACTCAAACTCATCCTCAGTTGGGACATTTATATGCACAGCCACTGCTGTTTTGTAAAACCTTCCTCCAAAGGTTAAATGGACCAGTATGCATGCAGTATCTTTTTTGGCACGTCTTTGTATAGGTATAATGTGGCTATGTTAACATTTTCAATTTTTGAAAACTTGTGTTCTGACATACACATTTTCAGAAGCTTAAAAGCCGTAAACTATCGTATTTGTTAAATCAGGATCACAAGTTCAGCACCTATGTTTATTCTCAGCCATTGAAAACCCTGCACAAATTTCAATTTGCACCAAATGGAATGAGACTACTTTATCAACACAGTATACCCAGGGAGACAGTGCCACACCACAAGATGTGAACGCAGCTGGGTGAAGAAGGAAGTGGGGATGTTCAGAGTGACAATGTTTCTCTTGCCAAGCTACCCTTAGGTGTGACAGAGCCCAGCTTTCCTGGGGACAGCTGAGCATCTCCCTACCCATGGGAAGTGGTGAATTAATTCCTTCTTTTGCTTTCCCCATTAAACTGTCTTCATCTCCACCCACAGGTTTTCTCATTTTTACCCTTCCAGTTCTCTCCCTCATCTCAACACAAGGGGAACAAGTGACCATGTAGGTGGTCCTTAGTTTCCTACTAGGGTTAAACCACAACCACCACAAATTCAAGTACCTAGGCAATGCTTCACTGACAACAGCTCTCACTCAACTGCACAAAAAATAGCTTCTTCTAAGTTTGGTCCGTATGGAGAACAGCAACTTACTGACATCTGCTCCTTCAGTGAAGGAAGCAATGTCTATCTGCAGCACAGACCCAGAAACTGTAACTCAACCTGATGGGAAACAACACAAGCTAGCTCGGAGAACATATCAACTCCTACGACACACAGATTACTCACTCATTTCCTTCAGAAGACTGTGAAATATTCATGTTTTAGAGTAATCACTTAAATAACTGTATGAAAGAAGTATGTGTGTTTTTATCAGGAATATTCTTTATTTCCAAAGTCATCCAGTTTCACACTGAGGTCTGAAGACACCTGTATCCTCCAGCAGAAATAAAGTGTAAAATTCTATTATGGATTGACATTTCCTCATACATTAATTATTCCTAACTTTTATAATCATAGCCTTTGATAACCTAGCAGTCCAAATGCAGTACATATAATTCGACTCACAACAAGTCCTTCTCACAGTTTTCATGACATGAAGCATTTGATTATAAATCTGGATGACTAACCATGTCAACTAAATACTAGTAACTCACAGCTCTTACACAGCATCTACCTCGTTTCTAACTCTGTTTCAGGAAACACATTTAATGCAGAACTACCTATCCCCTTTCATTCAGGAGATCAGAGTTCACCATTCCATTACAGACACACAATTTTGATCCCATGAGTAATTTCCCAAAACAGCAGTGACATCAACACAGGCATTAACATTTCAATAGGAAATAAAACCTGACCTCCTCACACAACTGATACACATTTTACTGTGAACCTGAACCTCCATAGATATTCTGTCACCTTTTATAGTTTCACATAAGTTTGGGTCAACTTTAGTGAAAACTTATATTTATCTTAGAGATATGTTTAAGAAACACTGATAAGGCAACCAAGTTCATTACAGGAACCTAATAACATCTAGGATTTGAGATGAAAAACATCTGCCTACTTTTTAGCAGCCCAGGCACGTTTGATTTGGTATGTGTGGGTTCTGGGTACGGTTGATTGCTTTTTTTGTTTGAGACTATCTACTCCTTTGTTTTCTTTCATCGCGAAAAACAAACGCGTTTGGGTCCATCCAATTCAACTCCTTTCCTCCCACCCTCAAATCCTGCCACGTTTCCCCGGCAGGGCTCAATCGTGTCCATCGGGTCTGCACAGCCGGGCTCCGAGGGCCCTTCCACCCCCTCAAAAGGCAGAGCCAGCCGGGATGCTGGAGGTGCTACACACGCAGGGCTGGGGTTTGAATTTTTTTTCTTTTTTTTTTTTTTTTTTTTTTTTTTTTTTTTTTTTTTTTTTTTTTTTTTTTTTTTTTTTTCCTTTTGCTCTTTCCACGTCGGTTTTCCCTGCCTCCGCCGCGGGAGCCGCTCCGGCCGGGACAGCCCGGGCAGGCACCGCGGCACAGCGGACCCGGCCGCACCGGCGGCTGCCCGGGAGGGCGCGGGGGAAGGGGAGGGGGAGGCGGCAGATAAAGCTCGGCAGCCGCGCTGAGGGCGAACAAAGCCCAGGTCGGCTCCGCGGCGCGGCCGCACCGCCAGCACCGCGCCCCGCGCTGAGGGCGGGCAGGGCACAGGGACGGGCGGGGACGGGGAATACACGAGCGATGGAGACCCGCACACGGCCGAGACCCGCACACACAGCCTCACACACACACACACAGGGCGGAGACCCCCCACGCCCACACACACGGCGCGGACCCCACAGACGCAGGGGCCGAGGTGCGGCGCGCCCCAGCCCCGGGGCGGACACCGGGCGGGCAGCGGCTCCCTCAGCCCCGCCGGGCGGGCAGCACCCCCTCAGCCCCGCCGCGCTTCCCCCAGCCCCACAGAGCCGCCGCCTCCCGCCCTCCCCTCTCTCCCTCCTATCCCTCCCGTCGGTCCCGTCCCGTCCCTTCCACCTGCGCCCACCTGCGGAGCAGAGCAGCACGAGGGACACGCCGAGCAGCGGCAGCGGCGGCTCCATGGCGCGGCGGGCACCCAGCGGCGGCGGCTCCGTGCCCGGGCTGCGCCCCGCGCACCGCCCAGCAGGTGAATCGGCCCGGCCCGGCCCCGTCACTTCCGGCCGCTCCCCGCC